TTCGCTTAACTTTTATCAATTTTTTGTTTAGTCATGTCGTGTTTATATTTGATTTTCTTCGATTCTTCGAGGGTATACCATCCAAAGTATATTAAATACAGTTTGAAATCTGCAATCTAACGGAACTTGGGAAATAAATAAAATAAAATATCAGCAAATATGAAAACCTTTTCCATGGGGGGTCATGGACTTGCACCTTCTTTAGTTTCCACATCGACCGATAGCGCTGCTACTGTGTTATCTGATGATTTGTTATGCAATTCTTTCTTTGTCTCTGGTTTTGACTCAACGATTGACAGACAGACAGAGAAGGACAGGAAAGCTTCTGTTCGAGTCGCTGGAGCGAAGAATTCAATTGAATGAAATTGGTAATGAAAACAGGGAAATGATTGATTTTGTTGACAGATTTGACAGATTGCGTCGGAGGTCTGTCTGTATTTGAAGGTCCATAGATCATTTGGTAAATTTAGAACTCTTTAACAAAATTTCATCTTAGTTGTAATTATAATTTTCATGGCATTGCAATCAAAATCTTATCGAATTGTTTGCTTTTTATAGCCGCCCCTATATTTATGGTCAACAATGGTACAAATAATTATGGCTTAATCGGGCTATATGCTCCATGAGCTGTCTGTGTCGACGACCTCCAAGCGAATCGAATACCAAATTATACAAACATAAGCACATACGACGTGCATCTGTATCTATTGTATATATTTACATGTCTACATATACAATATTTGCTATCTACATATACACACAATATTTGCTATCAGATATTTTGTTTGATCACGTGCCTCGCAAAGGCTTTGGGACTTTTTTGCGGGTGGGGATCCTCTGTTGCCATATACGAAAATGTGTTGCCAGTTTGCTCTTTAGCTTTATCTTTTCCCCAGGCCTTGCAGACATGCAGACGACGGGCGGATTTCATTGTCTTATTTCCACAGCAGATAAGGCGCTCGAACCCGCACAAAAAATATTGACCATATCTCGACTTTTGCGTTTCCATCCGAATTGCCCACACTTTTTCCCCCCTATAATATAAGCATAGTCATATCTTGCGATAACTAAAACCTATTCTACTTCATTAGCAAGTGACATATTAAATATACATTCGAATCATAAATCTAAAGCTATATCGAAGCCAGGATTATAATGTTTCAAATATAGAATCAACTAAATCGTTGAATATTTTTCATGGGTTTATGGTTTTTCACACACCCATTGATTTATGTATATTTTTATTTTCATAAGTCAATGAGGTATGTGGACAAACATAAGCCATAATGTCATCAGTGAGATATTTACTAATGATTCAGAGCGAACCTTCTCCGTTCAAGGTCACAAATACTCCAGGACTTGGTGGTTCGCTCATGGATGTGCTCAAGGGTAAACCCTCAACGAATGGCCCGGGTTCCAGCTTCGATATGTTTCCTTTTAATATTATTTCGAACTGCAATCCAGGTCATGTCATAACAACTAAAACATCCGTGAGGAGCTTGGTACGCGCATCGAGTATTTAAGTTAAGTGGCTTAATATCTTACATCTGGAATAGCCGATGGACGTACCGTTCCTTGCTACATCATTTAACAATTTTTGCAAATGGTTCATTGTTGTTCACTTTACAGATCCCTCATGTATAATTTTAATATCATCTGGCTCTGATGACCTGACGTGATCATTGCTTTATTATACCCGGTACTCCAAGAGTAAATAGGGTATATTGTGTTTGTGCGTGAGAAGTGATGTAGATGTACATAGATGACATATGTAGAAAAAATGTAAAATTTAAAAAAAAACAAACACTAGGTACAGATGTCCTACTGAGTACTGGGTATAAAAGTTGTGACGTGTAAGAAGCGCCTCACACGTCCCTTCTCGTTATATAGTGCATTCATTGTAATGGTTTAAGGCTGTTTAAGTTTTGAGATCACGTGTGCTTCTTTTAAATACCAGACGTGACCGAAAACATGTACAACTTGCCGCCATTCTTATCCACACATAATACCTGTTTAATGTTTACGATAATGTTCGCTCTTGTAATGCTCGCTTATTAATCAAATTTTAGAAATATGTATGTCCACCCCCTGGCAACGCGGTTCTGTCCTAGATGGTTAAGCGTTTGGTGGTGCTTTACCGTGTTGTGTGTGTTCGTGTGCATATTGTTCGTTATTGGATTTCGTGTTGTATAGGGTTCAAGTGCCAATTTGCCTCGTAAATGATTTAAAAGCGATTAAACGTTGTGGCCCGCTGCTCAAAGATAGTAGATTGTGCTCTTGGATGTTTTGTCAACGCAGCGAAAACAAACAAAAGTTCCGAGCTGCGATTAGTTCGAGCTGCTGCTACGTTAACGTTAACCCAACCCAATCGTTAACCGTTTGCTGCTCACATAATCGACTGATCGGCAGCCTATCAGCTGATATCAGGCAGCGATCTAACCCCGACTCTAATCCAAACATGCAAGTTCTGGTGGAGGAGCATTGCCGATAATGATCAAGGGGGTATGGGAAAACACATTAAATTTTACGATTCACACAGATTTAAGATTTCTGTCTTCTAAAACTATGAGGATATTGGTTCTGAAATCTATATTTATGCCATTCTGTGACTCCCTATGCATTTATTTCAAACTATACATTTCATGGTTCCCGGATTCGATGTATGATTAAAAATATCACCGTTTTCACCATACGCAGGAATTTATGTATAATTCTAATATTATAATTTACGCGGTATAGGGAAAATCCTTAGCCACAAATTCATCCGTGGGATACTTAGTTTGTTGGGGACTCTCCGTTCAATAATATTTGCTTATAATAAACAAGGATCGTTGACTTAGTTCAGACTGCACCCCTCGCAGTGCCAAAATTACTCCAGGACTTAGTGAGGACCGTCGGAGCTGGAACTCTTATCCACTCAATCGAAAATCTGGGTTATAGTTGGCCTGGTTTCCAGCTCGGACCTGTTTATTTTTAAAATCTGGACCGGTTGCAAATCATCCCATTTATTTGCCACTAAACTATCCATTAGATATCCCTTCCATGAGCGAATATTCTTCTTTGAAAAATAGACCGGACTGGGGAACCTCGGTGTACAGTTGGACAATTCCAACAGTTGTGCAATTATAAGCACCAGTAAAAACAATGTTAAGTTCAAATAAATTAAAGCAATCGTGAAATAATTCTTTAGTGGCGAATATTTTGTAAATGCTTGTAGTTTTATATGTGTCCATTAACGTATGTAAAATTTTAATGTCTTCCGTTTTTGGATACAGAGAAAACTATAGTAATTATTCCCTACTTGAGATGGCAAATTGTTCTTTGATAAATAAATCGGACGACAATTGTTTAGTTAATAATTTCCTTTGAGTGTCCCAGCTGTTAAGTTGTTTCTTTTCTTTTCTGATGGCGGAGTTGTTACTTTTTTACTAGTGTATTTCACATTATTTCGTACATGCATTAATTAATTCATTCATTATCTCTGTCTTTACATAGGGTTTGGCCTTTATTTCTAGAGGGGATACTACGATATTTGAATAGCTTTAAATACGCGTAATAAATGAGTAATCGATCTGCCTAATTGTTATCTTAACATTCGAAGTGTGATCTAATTTGTTATAATAATTTGGAATTTGTCCCCGCTGACCCCGACACTAACACCAATGAAAATGTATTTTCTGTTGCTCTCTTCAGATTGAGTTTTACGAGTATATACATATGTACATATGTATGTAGGCCTATGTATGTCTGTACAAACAACGACAAAAAAAATACAAAATCTGCAAAAACAATTTAGAAGAAACTTAGCCGAATTTCGTGTTCCCTTTCATATGAATACTTTTTTAAAATGAAAGGCTTGATCGATGGTGGGCTCTACATAAAATGCACCCAAAACCTGTAGAAATGTACATATAGTTTTTGGGATCAAAAGTAATTTTTTGCGATGCACGAAGGAAAATACTCAATGCAAAAAGAGTATACAACACTTGAGACGCATTTTCGATATCACGCGTCTGATGCGTGGCCGACAGCAATGCCGCGCGACAATGCATAGTATTGTAGAACCCCAGAGGAGACCCCGTAACGAACATACTCAGCGGCCATGATCGGGTCGGAGTCTCCTTTTTTTAATTTTGCTTGTCCCATCCAGCTCCTGTCTCTCCCTGTTCCTCATTCAGACACCTTATTTTAAACAAGCAGCTGTTTTTAGGCTGTTGTATCAAGCAGGGGTGTAGAAAGGCAGCTACACGGAGGGACATAAAGGAAAGGAAAAGGCAAGTTGCACCACAGAGCAGAACCAGGGTAGAGACCAGTCAGGTAGATATGCGTGTATGTACATACATAAATACATAAATATGCACACAGGATTGATGGTTTCTCATACATACATACATATGTACGTATGTATATGGAATTAAGAGATTGGGTTCTTTCTGTACATTTTACTTAAATAGTATCTTTATGGAGATATTAAATGATAGATTGTAAATAATTAACCCAGTAAAACCCCATTAACACAATAGATTATCTTCTGTATTTATGATTTGATTCCATGTACATTTGTATGTATTCGAATGCATCTGTCATATTTAATAGGCATAATATTTATTACAGATTACCCCATAGCTCGCGTCGTGTAAACATTTTAGATAGAAACATATTTAATTTTGTCATATTTCATTGGAATCTTATCAAGGGACAAGTCATATACTAAATAACTACACTGGCACAGAGGGAAAGTGAAAGGGTTGAGGGGGCAGGGGAAACTTGGTAACTAACCTATCCTAAGTGCAAAATCATTAGTACATCAGAAATAAAAAGGAGGAGTAAAGAATGCAGCATGCAGGATGAAAGCGTTTTAAAGCGGCGGAGTGATTGGTTTTCTTTGCATTTCTCTTATTAGCTAATTAGTTGGAATGCTTGGAATGAATGGATACGTTGGATGGCAGAATTATACATGTTCATATGCATGAAAAAATTTATGTTAAGGTAGGACTTACGTTGACCAAACTAACGCCAAAACAGGCAACCCAACCCCAGCCGCCATCGGGGGCAACTTTTCTTGGTTGTTTCGTTGTCATTTTCTCCTCCTCCTCTAACTTTTTCAGCTCTATTTTATTTTGCTTCTGTTTTGTGTTCTTTGTTGTGTTCCTTCTCCCTCTCGAGTCTTCTGGTTCGCTCTTTTGTGCCTTCCTTCGTTCGCTTTTGTTGCTTTGGTTTTTTTGGCTTTAAGGTGTTCTGTCCGTTCCGTTCCGTTCTCCGGGTTCTCCTCGCCACTCTCCGTCTATCTACATATATAATGTATGGTATATATAGATTTATGGATATTTTCTTTTTACGTTGTTTCTTGTTTCGCTCTTTGTTGGCATCTGCTTTAATTATATTTTTCCATTTGTTGTGATTTTTTTTTCGACTTTTTGTTCAGTTTTTAATTTGTAACACACTCAAAAAAAATAAAACGAATATAATTTGTTGCAACTCGTTTCTTTTTTGCCATACAGTTTCGTTAATCAAATTACCCTACACGTTTTTTTTCGTGTACGGAGTTCATATTTATTTTGTCGTTGAATTTTTGATCGGTTTGCTTTTAATGCAGCTTTTTCAGAATTTTTCTTATCACATTGAAATTATAATATACTTATTTAAATGTACATATTATAACTGTGTTATATTTTTCCAGAGGGAAAATCGCGGCGTTACGGTGGGAGAAACGTATTCGTTCTCTCTTGTTTTTGGGCTTGGTGCTAATTCTGTTTTTGTTTTGCTTGGCTTTGCTAGTTTCTGGTTTTATTCCAGCTGTTTCTACCGATTCTTCTTCTCGTTCACGTTACCGGTCGACGGTTCGGGGGTTCGGTTCGATACGATTCGATTCTCCCTTGCGATGATGAAGGTAAATTGAGGGAGGTGAGGGGGGTACCGACCTACGTTGTTGCTCTGCTCACAGCGCGGATTCTTTCCGTTTGGTAGCGTGGTCGCTTTGTACAGCGCTATTTATTACAAAACAAAAAAAAGAAGCGGTGGGTTAAAAAGGGGGGTGCCACTCTCTCTCTTTCCCACTCTGTATTTGCCTTCTTCGATTTCGATTTCGATGAGCTACGCGCTCGCGCTGTTCGATTGAATGCCTGCTCACGCGGAATTGAGCAATGCGCTCATGTACAACTAGTAATATTCACTGTATCTTTTATTTTAACATGAGTGAGTTTCTGTCCAAAATTCACTCGTGTTTTCTATTTCCTTGAAGAGGGTATTTACAATTGAACAGACGTTTTCGAGGCTGTTATATACATCTTTTCCTGATAAGCATGATTAGACGACTCGGCATAATCGTTTAATTTTCATTTAATTTGGAAGCTCATTTAATAACTATTGAAGCAGATTCAACGTTGGAATCAGGCAGTTAAGGTCGAACTGCAAATATTAGACATGGCTGTCTAACTTAAAGGGTATACAAAGTGCCGCTTCGTTGCGGGGTTTATTTTACATGAGTGAGACTGTCGCCTGCGCCAGCATGTTGACTGCGCTGCCTGCCTGCCTTCCTCAGAAGGCAATGAAAAGAGAGCGAGGGAGAAGCGTGTGTGTGTACGTGTTTGAGAGAGTAATGCAAGTTTTCGACTGCGTGTGTTTTGTTTCAAGATCGTCTATGCAAAGAGCGCGAGAGAGCGAGCTGCTGCTAATGCTCGCTTCCACTTCTTGGCTGAAGAGAACTTTGCCAAAATCTTGCATGCGGAATTGCCTCTTTCATTGCCTACAGTTAACTTATAATTGTACACCATCGGTTAAGTCTTTCTGGAGGAGTGAATTCTGTTGATGTTACCCCTACTGCTACACATCTCCTCTCACCACACACACTTAATGTTCACTTGGATCCCGTTGCAGTTGCGCAAATGCACTCGAATCTCTCTTATTCTCTTTTCCGCTCACTGCTGCGTAGCCTTGTCTGTTAACTTGTTGCGCTGCCTCTCTTACTCACGGGCAAGTGTATGGGTGCGGAAGCCAAACATTGTGAGTACAAGAGAGAAAGAGAGGAAAAGTGGCGGGTTGTTTGGCGTTGCCAGATTTTAATTGCACTCAATAATGTAGATTTTAACAGATCCAATGCTGTTATCGAAGCTGTGAATTGAGTGGAATTTTGTTATTTTGGAAAGGAACATATTAAAAATGTATTTACATATGGAAATTCGAATGGAATATTTATTTATGGGAACTGGTCCAAAAGATACTTGGCGTAACTCTGTTCAAAATATAAGTACTCAAACACAAGTCGAACACGGCAGTCTGTCTCAATATTTGTTATATGGATACCACTCTGAGTCAATCTCTTTCTTTTGACTGTCAAAGTGTCTTTTTTGTTTGAATTCATAGACGATTGGGGGCCATTAGGGTTTATTTAATAGTTCTGGCACCCCTTTTGCCTCTGACACACCCAGCCAAACGATTTCCGGGGAAAGCCCTGCTAATTTCCACGAACACAATGGAGTGTTGACGAGGTGGTGGCTTACATTGAGTGGCTGAAAATGGAAGTGTTTCCCTCTCTGTCACTTTCTTTGGCTAACTGCGGCGGGATTCGGCATCAGCTCCCCCCACTCTTGCTGTCGACTTGGACAAAGGAATCGATAACTGACTGATTCCGCGTGGGGACACAACGAGCAGGGGGCCCTGCCCGCAAACAATATGCTAAGCAACACACTGTGAGTAGCGTGAGTGCCGCAGTTGGCGGCCCCCATGGCGCCACTAGTGCTTCAAAGTGGGTGGCAGTGAGATTTCCCTGTTTTCCTGTCTTGCTCCTGTTTCAATGTCAATGTTGTCGGTAGGAGGGAGGTGGTTTCTTGGCTTTACTTTCTTTTTTTTCATTTGTTGCTTTTGACATGCTCTCTCCAGCGTTTTGCTTGTGTCGGCTTCCCTTCCTTCTGGTAGTTGTTGCGCATTTGGTGATGCCACACGCAAGCTACCACCAGACCCCAACCGTCACAGAATGTGTGAGTGTACGTATGTATGTATGCATGCACATACGAGCATCTGTGTACCATTCCAGATTCTCTGGCTACTGGGATTTCGTAGCGGGGGTATCCTTTGACGCACAAGCAGCTGTGGCACACAAATTGGGCGCACTTTGGGCGCAAAATGACTGCCACAGGAACAGTGAAAGTGAAGAGGATCGTTGGAAGGGTGGTACTCTTAATCGAGTACCCCAAGCTTTAATCGATAATAGATGTTCAGCTCAACAGAAACCATAAGTACCTGTAATTAATATATTTGCGATCTTTTGTTAGATAATTTTAGATATCGGTTTGAATTGGTGTTTTTATCGAATGATCCTGTCCATTAGTTCAATCATTCCTTAAGGCTCGGTCATGCGATATAAATTACATTTTCGCTCTACGACACACATTTACAATGAATGAACATTAAATCATACCTTTTTATCTGTGATAAAGAATAATGTGATTCGATTTTTCATACCTGTCGGACCCGATTTATCCTTTGGCTGATGGTCTCTAGTTCTTTGGATATTCGGACATTATATATTCATTTTAAATATTATATAATAACGACTACCTGAATAATTATTTACCACAATTCCACAAGAAACAGTACCGTGTGCGCACTTTTAAATGGGATGTTAGTGATTTATTTTCTTGATTTTCTCAATTATTGAAGGAAACCCGCGATCAATGAATTAGAGTATCGAGTTTAACGAGTGATGAGTATTGAAAACTATTTTTAGATATTTATTCATAGTTGTCTCAGACAGGAAGTTCTGTTTTTAGATTCATCGGGTAACTTCACATGGTAATATTTATGTTTCTACATAATCACGTACGTATCTTGATGTCGTTATAAATTATGATATACTTAGATGCTTGCGATCATTAATGATTACTTTCTGTTAGTTTTTCGTTGCAGTTTATATAATTGATTTAGTCAATGGTTCTTACCCTACTCTTGTTGTTCGGCCCAAAGCCGAATAGTGTTGCCTGATCACGAGGCACAGACCTGGACATAACAGGTGAGTTCCCAGAGAGTTTCTTGATTTAATTTGTGGATCATGCTCATGTTTTGGTCATTTTAGTGCATTTGGTGTGTTTGATATACAAATACAGAAACTTGAGCACACACAAACTGTGTTCAACAGAGCTGCGCATGCCATTGTGTTTTGAGTGTTCGGTTAGTATCGGAGGAGATGCTCTGTGTTCTACGATTGTGGTACTGTTGGAAGCTGTGTTGCTCAGGGTATATTTGAAATCCATGAGCAATGCAATTTCCAAGAGTAACACAATTCCAAAATCCTGTGAGTCTCCCAAAAAGATTCTCTGAAATTCGAAAGACCTGCGAATCTGTGAATTGTGTGGAAACGTCTGGGTGAATCTTTCTTCTGAGGCGTTTTCATTTTCTTCTGCAATTTCAGTCCTCACTTTCTTTATTTCCCCTTAATATTACTTTTTCTCCTGCTATCTCTGTCATCGCTGTATTCTGCTTTCTACTGGAACTTGTTGCGCGTTCGGTGACGTCGCAAACACATACATTTGGCAATCAGAAATTAAATTTGGACCAAAATGAGAAACAAGACACCCAAAGTATGCTACAAAAAGTATATCAAATATTAATGGACCGACATTACGCGACTGCCATAAAGTGTGCCACAAAAATGCAACCCCACCCGATCTAACTTTCCACATCTAATCATTTGTTTTTAGCAACAATATTCAATATTTTGGAGCATTAGACTGATTGCAATCATGCTGCGAAAATCTTAAGCAAGGCTCGCGTATAATGCACCCACAGGTGTCTTTTTCTTTGGTTTGACCACAATTGGATTACCTCTGCCATTAGGGAACTTGCCCAGAAATTATTGCGACCCGCATAGCATCCCAATAACTTTCCTGTGATAATGTGAACAACGTGTTTTGGCTAGGATTCTAATAGCAAGATATGTATTCATACAAATTAGTACACTCGCATGCTAATTTGTACGCTCATGTATCTATCTATCATCATTCTACATCATCCGAACATCCTGTGCAGCGTTCACATGCTTAGTGCGATTTATGTGTTGGGTGGCCCGACCCAAGGCCAGCCTACCACTGCGACCAGGAAAGCATTCTTAAAATATGTATAATCAGTGGCAACACGCCATGGTTTTATTTTGTGGATCATTGTCATGGACATAGCCCATGCCCAACAGTGTTCAATATATGAGGCAGCGATGCCAGCGATGTGCTTTGAGTGTTTGATTAGTATCGGAATTGCTCTGCTCTATGAAGTTGTGGTACTGGCGGAAAATGTGCTTCTATTGGTGTATTCAAAATCCCCAAAGGATTGAAGTACTGATTAAAGATACTTTGCTTTTGGTGCATTCGATATAACACCAGCAATATTTCTTACATCGGTACTGCAGTCAACCAACCAGCATGGTGTTCCAATATCCTGTGATCCTGCCACAGAAAGCAGGAGAGCTAAAGGGACGTTGTAGATGACAGAGGAAAAATAAATGTACTATTTAAAAATAGTATGTACACTGACGGAGTGCCCGATATAAAAGCAGTGATGCGTATTAACGCGGCTCACAACGTTACTCCTCGCTTGTAAGTGTAGTGGTGTATGGTTTGATTCTTTAATGATTTATTCAAATATCAATGGAGAATTTAAGCCATACACCAATGCGATCATGGCAAACATTCTACTCGACATTTACTACAACCCAAATGTATTGTGTGATCATTAACGATTTCCATGGATAAGAGAAGAACTTCCTTGTTGTTGTGTTCCAAATCCAACATGGAAGTATTTCCCTTAGCTACAGGGATCGGGGAGATCATCAAGTATATCCATAGATCAAATCTGAGTCTTGTCAGTTTATGGATTTCTGAGTCATCTCCGTATGAAAAGAAGAGATCGGATCATAAATGCGTATCGCCTGTTTTTTGGGGTCTATCTGGAGTCCAATCGATAATCGAAGAAGAAGTCGAGTGCCTTGGAGGCCGGTCGCTGTGGGCCCACCCGGCCTTCTAAACAACAAATGAATCTACATACCGGTGAGGGGGAATAAATATCTATATATGTGTGTGTGTGTGTGTGTGTGTGTGTGTGTGCATGTGCGTATGTGTAGATACGTTCGTCAAACAGCACTTCTGTTGCCCCACGGCTTTATTGTGGGGCCAGGGCCCCGGGGCGTGTCGGACACACCCACCTTGGTCTTTGGACCCGGGTGCCAAATCGTAAAGCCCATACCGAAAATGCCAAATGGCAAATAAAATGCAAACTTATCAGCAGATTGTAAAGCAGTTCCCTCTCCCCAACAACAGAAAAGCGAACTCTCCTTGTCCCACATGGTCGGGGGAACGGACTAAAGGTCTTTCCAGTTGGATATTGGATATTGTGTTTGCCTTTGGTCTGAAGATTCCGTTGAAAAAGTGTCGCATACTCAGAAGTGTTCTCAAAATATCAATTTAATTAATACACATTTATATTTAGCACTGATAATGCGGCTGGGAGACATCGCTAAGCGAAAGAGGAGCATAATCAACTGTGGTGTGGTGAGCCGTGACAAGCCTTTCACTTCTCTCCATCCATGAAATTCAAATTGAAGTTCCTCAACGACTCCGCCAACAAGTTGTCAGTCGCATAATCCTCAATCTGCGTCATGGCATGGACAACAGACAGCCTTGGAATGTATTGCAAACTTTCGATACAGTTTTTGACACCTGTACTTTTGTATGGTGAGGCATCTGGAACGACCTGCTGTCATCATCGTCACACTAGACGAACGGATTAACGAGGAGCGCCTGGCTCCCTCACACCACTGCCATTCTAGTCACTAGTTAACTAAAAGCATTTCCTGTATGCCAGACACACAGTGCCACAAGGGCTATACGAACGAGTAGAACGACGAGTGGATCCCTGGCATGACGCGCCACACGTGTATTTGTTTTCGGAAGTAAAGTAAAGAGAAGTTTTTCGACTGCCAGGAAGATCTTGAAAGGTACGCAAAGCCTATCCTCTTCGGCTTAGCTCTACGAATGGGGAATCTAAATGAGTCGCTTACCACTGTGCTGGTCGATGACAAAATCAAATTCTAATCATCGTTGCTATCATAATGTATTTATGAGTGTGTATACGGACCTACATACATGTGTACTACTGATTGTATGTGATGTGCACAGGCCAGTGTGGTTCCTCCTCAGTGGTATATGAACGTATGAATGTATTCATGAATGTTTGCTCTGATAATCGCACCTGCGACGGCAAAACTAATTACAACAACACCAAGGCAAATACAATGGAACATTATTCCCTTATCAAAAGAAGTCGAAGAAGTACCAGAAAGGATAACCGAATCATATAATACCCTTTGATACTACATATTGTTATGATCGCTTGGCATTATCTTCAGATGAGTTCTGACAGTAATAAGTAAGATGTTTCAAATGTACAAATAATGTTGCTCATATTTTGTGCTATTGAAAAATTACGTACAGTGTTGGAGCTCTATGTACATAGTTTTTTTTATCCGATTTTAATTGAATTTTCGGTGGGTTTTGAAACATCAGTCTGCACATGTGGAATGGATTAACTTGCTAGATGTCCTGCTTAAATGCTTATCCACCCTCTTCTGGATCGTAAAGCACTCTGCAGCAAAAGGGTATCAAGTGGAGCAGCAACATAAGCGAATAAGACAAAAGACCACAAAATAACAAGCAGACTTGGACGATGGGAGGGAGCTTCGCTTTACATAGCTGTACATATGTATGTATTTATGAATATATGTACAGCTGTATATGCATATCTATAACAAATAAATATCTCACCGGCAGCCAGCACAGAACCCGGCATCGGTGGCGAATGTAAGTGTATTTTTATGTACCACACTGTCACCCAAAGGGGCTCCCATACATACAAGTGCAGGTGCATATGTGTTGGTGTTTGTCCCTGCCTGTATTAGCGTGTGTGTGTGTGTGTGTGTGTGTGTGTTTGAGAGAGTTTCGTTTGTATTCTGGTGTTTAATACTATAATTCACAAAATCATTCAGTTCAGTTCGCGCTGGTGAACGTAACGGAAAAGTCGAGTCGAAGTCGCCGTCGCCTGTTGAATGCTGAAAAATTCTATTTACTTCTCGCGGCTTCACCTACAAGCTCTTTACACTCTCCGTGTTTTTTTGTTGTTTGTTTTTTTTTTTTGTTTTTTGCATTTGTTTTTAAGTTTTTGTTTTTGTTTTTAAACATTTTACATATTCTAAACGTCGGAGCAGAGCGCGAACGAGCAACAAACAAGAAAAACAGCAGCAAGCGCCGGCAGCAGTGGAAAAGTCAAGAGACAAAACAGAAAGAATCGTTTTACAAAAATAAAACTGTACGGCCTCAAATATATATACATATATAAATATATTTAATTGTGTGCGTGTGCATGTGTGTGTGTGTTTTGACATTTGTATTTTAATTTAGTAGCAATTAACACAAAAGCAACAAAATAAGCGCGCGCTTTCCTCGGCGACACGTGCATAGAAGCGAAACATCCAAACTGAAATCTATAGATACGTCTACAGATAATAGTGGACCAGTACACCGAGTACCTAGAGATGAAACATATGCCAAAACGGGTCCATATGTTCCAGTTTGTATTAGCAGTATTAGGGACTCTCAGGGGAGTCTCTAGGGGGTTGTTTGGTTCTTCTAAAAGTCAAAACATTCAACCAATTGTGCACAGATAAAGAAGCTAAATGTGACCATATTTAGAGAACTTCAATGAGGACTTCCACTGTATTCAATAACTTGAATGTCTAAATATGTCTCGGGGTAATATCCGTTATGCTCCCCTTCCAACCCATTCTACGAGCATTCATCAATCAAAGTCTACACAGAGGCACAGAGACATAGAGAGAGAGAGAGAGAGAGAGAGAGACGTAGCGGGATTACAGTTTACAGAGCGCCCCAATGAGGCGTGCCGTCGCACAGTGTCTGTTACAAGTTGTTTGCCCACACAACTAAAGCTTCCACCTCTCAACATCCTCAGCATTCGCATCGTCAGCAGCTCCTCCCCGCGGCTCGTTCGCCTTTTTCTTTTGTTTTTTTTTGTTTACAATACAAATACCTTTTTATGGAGTGTGAAAGATGGTAGACGGCAGTGGAGAGAGAAGGAACAGAGCAGAGAGGGGGCAGAGTAATCATATAATGCGGAAAGCACTAATTATAAAGATGTTTGTTTTTAGCTTTAGACAGACGTCTTCAAAACTTAATAATGCCTGACGATGGCAGCGACAAATGCGTGTTAATCAAGCACTTGAAGCCCATGTCCCATCCCAGATGTATACAAGTTTTGCAGTCGAACTTTGCTGTGTGGGGTAGTTTCAAAAAGAAATGAACTCTAATCTTGAATGATTCTAAATCGTTTGAGAATACTTGATGGCATGTGCACATATTATAAAATGCTTATCAAACTTCCTTGTGAGTGAGCAGGCAGATCAGCAAACAGATGCTGATCAAAGTTTACTCTATTAAACTGAAGACCTTTGACATACTTACGTATAAAAGATAATGCTTGTGTTCATCCAATAGCAATATCAGTGGAGCATCTTATGATAAACCATCAAAAGAAGTGGGTCAGCCTGGAGAGGATCATCACGTGTGCAGTGGAGCAGCCATGTGCTCTATTGATCGATGGATGGATGGTTCGATCGATGAACGCCACCGAAATATTCCATGGCCATATATCCACGCATATGTACACATGTTCACATTCGCATATCGCTTTGTCACATTTGGTGATAAGAAAACAAGAGGCTTAAGGTCAATTAGCAGCAATTATATGGTACCTATTCCTATCGAGGAGGAACTGATAAGCAGAGTCAGAAGTTTTTCCGCACTCACTGTACATGCGAGTATTTAGCATACTCTATTGGGTGGCTTTCCAGCCGTTGTTTATTGATTGCCGGACAATTAAGAGGCTGTAAAATTGATATTTGAGCAGCCGCTTAATGGCTCTCAATCTGCCAGTCTCCCAGCCCCGGCGACCTTTAGTACACACACACAATTATTAGCCATATTCCCACTGCCCAGTCCAAGTACCCAGTACTCTACTCGCTGTGCAAATAAAGCGAACTTTGCCGCGTCCAGCAGCGCGAATCTTATCATTTTCTGCCATGACCGCACATACGTACATTCATGTACGTACAGAGACATTGGTCAGTCCGCTGCTCTGCGATAAAGTGGTGGCGGCGGAAAGTGAGGAAGCAGTCGACATCCGCTCCGCTCTCACCTCGTGTTGGATATAAAACGCTATCCTTATCGACTACGTCTACGTATATGTGTGTAGCTTCCCTGCCACCACCCCTTACACCACACTCCAATGATCTCATAAAACCCAAGGTGGAGATATCTTTCTTTGCCCTGCCGCTTGTCGATTGGCATTTACAGCAGCGCGCTCAGTTCAGTTCAGTTCAGTTCAGTTCAGATATTTGCTTGCTGGTCTGCTGGTCAGCAACTCAACTCTCTCGGATAAGCGGGATTCATTCCGAAAAAGAAAATAATACTAATACTCGTAACGCGTATCGCCCCAAAGCGGCTTCTTACTCAAAAAGCGCTCGCCGGAGCTCGCCAGATCACACAATCGAAAACGATTGACGTTTGTTATTTTCTTTATATAATGGGTGTTAAATTGTTGTATTATTTATTTAGTTATTGACTTTTTTTGGTGGCGGTCACGTTTCGAGGTCCCCCCAAAAAGACCCACCTTAAACGGAGCAAAATGAGTGAGAGTTAGCTCTGAGTTTTTGCGGGCGCGACTGCGATAAGCCAACAAAATATCCAAACAAAAAGCTCAGTCAATGTGGTGCGGTCTGCCTGTGCCAACAAAGTCTTCCAGAGCTAAGATATGCTCTACAATGTAGCAGAGGCTTTCGATTCGAGTCGCTGCGAATGAGTAAGGGGCAGTCAGTCTGGCATTGCTGAGTGAAGAGTGAACATGTGAAGGCTTGTTTCAAAAAGGAATCTATGGTATCCCAATGATGCATCAACGAGCGAACAAGCGTTTACAATTGTTTTAACTAATGTGTGGGAGTTATTTAAATATTTCTGATGGATCCTGGAAGTTAAATTGCCTTGCCAAAGTACCGTCCAAAGTCTTTCTCTGTGCTACCAAGAATCATGCCTTCCGCTCTAATCAAAGCTTATATAATTATGAACTATGAATTTCAACTGTCTTATCATTTGTTTATATAACATTGATTTTGTGCTTATCTCGAATGAATATTGCTTATTTGATTTGATTGAATGTAGAACTTGCTGCTCTGTCCGCTGACTTCCGAAAGATCACTCCAGTTACTCACCTCGATTCTTATTTCTTTCTTCTAGGCGTATGATTGCATGAGCCATCCAGGGATGCAACAATCAGACAACAGCCAGTGCCAGTCCCTGTCCCAATCCCAGTCCTAACACTCACTGCGTTTTCACGATGACTGATACTGGGAATCACCACCACGACAACAAAAACAACAACAATAATAATAATTACAGCAATGAGGCATCCAGACTACGATTGCCCGAGGAGCAGCACACAGCAGACCAACAACTGCTCCACCCGCAGCAGCAGCATCACTCAAAGAATGGTTCTGGCCAGGCCAAGATAGTGCCAGCCAACTCGCATTCACCCACAAAGAAAAAGAAGCGCCGCGACAAGAGCGATCTGGGCGATGATTTTGTGGCGCCCGATGGCGGCTGGGGCTGGCTGGTGGCCATTGCCAGCGGTGTCAATATTGTAAGTGGCCCCCACTCTCCCTCCGCATTCCCTCTCCCCATACTGATGCCTCCGTACCTTTCCCCAGCTGGTGACATTCGCTCTGGCCCAGCAGTTTGGCATTTTGTTCCGCGGTCGCATGGCTGATCTGGGTATCAGCACCTCGGAGCTAACCACCATCATCAATACACAGATTGCGGTCTCTGCATTTACGGGTGAGTAAGCCACACTGGAATTCTCTATACTGATGGAGACGTCGCAACTCCATTTGCGTTAGTTTGAACACAGCTTGTAGACACATTTTAGAGCTCACGTTTCTCTTCGTGAAGTCACAGACCGAAGGGGGTTCTCTAGATCTATTGGTATACCTTTTTAGGTCTTAGTTTTAATATAAACTAACATGTGTAACATTTTCGGTGGATGAAATTCTACAAAACATCAATCAACTTATTGTGTGCCACTCGCAGAGCCCGTTTTCTCTGAGGAAATTTCATCTTTAGCTTGTGTTTTCCTACAAAAAATTGCTTAAATTAGGAAATGAGCTTTATTAAAAGTATCTCAAAGTGCTCTATGAAATCCTTTCGCATGCTTTGTATGATAAATCCCACTACAACTCACTATAATGTTATGTTAATTGTTTTGCAGGTCTGTTGAATGGCCCGCTGTTCCGGCGTTACACATACCGCGTGGTGGCTCTGGTCGGCTCAGTGCTGACCTTCTTGGGCCTCTTTTGGATGGTGTTCGCCGACACCTTCACCGTCTACATGCTGAGCTTCTCGATCATCTATGGCTTCGGGCGTGGCCTGACAGTGTCTGCCTCATCTCTGGCGGTGAACACGTACTTCAAGGTGAAGCGCCGCACCGCCACCGCGTATCAGTTCGGTGTGGCAGGACTGGGGCCCATTGTGTGCCCCTACTTTGCCACCTACATGCTGAAGGAGTTCGGGGTGCAGGGCACGACGATGCTGTTCGCTGGCGCCTCGTTGCACACGATCGCCTGCTCGCTGATCTATCAGCCGGTGAAGTGGCACGTGGTGAAGCGGTCCAAGGATGCCGAGGCGCTGCACGAGCCGCAGGGGCAGGCCGAGCGCGAGGATCAGGATGAGGATATCATCAAGAGTGTGGTGGAGCCAGAGACACCAGGGCTGCCACGCGCCAACGATGGATGGTTTGGGTCCAGGGCCTCGCTAAACAGCAGCGGGACCCGTAACCGCCTCAACACCTGGGAGAAGTCCGAGCACAGCGGCCACGTGGAGCTGAAGCGTCTTAATAGTCGCGGAGAGCGCACGGATATTCCGCCGCGCCAGCAGCGCAGCATCTCCGTGAGCCACAGCATCAAGGAGGAGGAGGCAGAGACGGAGACGGAGACGGACAGGGCGCGTCCAGGATACGAATCGGAATCCGAGGCGGAGGCTGTGTCGCTGAAGCTGACAGAGAGGGACAAGCAGGAGCTCGAGGACGAGATGGAGCGTGAGCGCCGCAAGAAGCTGCCCTTCTACATGAAAATCGTCATATTCTTCGATCTGGATCTGCTGAGGGACTTCACGTACTTGAACCTGGCCCTGGGCATCACGCTGATCAACTTTGTGGAGATCAACTTTGCCATTCTCACGCCATTCATACTCAACGATCTGGGTTTCAATAGCAGCCAGATAGCCCTGGCCATGTCCACGCTGGGCTTCTTCGATCTGATCGTTCGCTTCCTCATTCCACTGATCACCGCCAAAATCAATTTGAGCAATCGCACCTTCTTTGTTGTGGGCATCCTGGGCATGTGCCTCGGCCGAATGTTCCTGTCGATGACCACCAATTTCTATGCGATGGTCGGCATCTTTCTCTTTCTGGGCCTCAACAAGGCCTTCCGCACGGTCTTCTGGTCGTTGATCATACCAGGATATGTGCCACTGAAGCGTCTGCCAGCTGCCGCAGGACTTCAGCTACTGATGTCCGGCAGCTTCTCCATGGCCTGTGGCCCACTCATAGGTAAGAAAGATTCTTTCACACATGCGTGCTGTATCTGAGAGTTGTATTTTCGTTTCCAGGTCTGGTGCGGGACCATACCAGCTACGCCTTTACCCTCAACTGCTTGAATGCCCTCTGTGTGCTGGCCATTGCGGGCTGGTACCTGGAGGACTGTGTGCGCTCCCGCATACGCAAATCCCAGCCCGTTAAGTCGGTCAATTGAAACCCGATCCAGCAGCCCGATCCATCCCAGCCATAAATCTAGCGACATGTTACCCACACCCCACAATATGTGTTTTTTTTTTTATATTCATATATTTTTTAATGTAAATTATAGTCAGCGTGTACATTGTGTATATAATAATTGAGTCTAGCTAATTATTTGTATTAACTATTGATAATTGTTATTAATATGCATAAGCTGCCAACAAAACCAAACAAAACAAAACCAAATAATCCACGAGTCCTTGCACTTTTTTTTGGTTCTTGATAAAAAGTGTGAAGAGTGCAGTGCCTGGCCTTGCAATTATTTCAGAGTTTTCTTCAACCTCGCCGACGATCCACTGATTAATATGATTAATAACATTATTTATATGTTTATTTCAGATACTTCATTTTGCTTGCTGAAAATGTAGAGATTCAATGCCTTGTACAAGGTACAGCAACTGCGGAAATTGTGCAGATTATTATTCTAATCTAAAGTGTTTTTCTACAATCAATCAAACAATTGTCTAATTAAATGTGGGCATGTCATTTCGCATTGATAAAAATACAAGCAGAAATACAATTATGAAGCTCTAGGCATGAAATGCCAAAATAATTCTTCCAGAAATGAGATTATTTCAAGGAGACAAAAAAACATTTGTGGATTGTCTTCTAAATGATTTCTGTTCAAACGAAATAGGATTTGCTGCGAATTTCGTATAGTTTTGAAATTATTATGCCCCAAGTAAACTTTCGGGAAGCAATGCCCTTTCTTCTGGCGGCGCACTATGCATCCAAGTTTTGGTGTTTTGTTTTAGTATTTGTTTCTTTTGCCATTGATAATCGCTTTTATAGGGTCTGTTGTCGTTTGCCGGTTCGCCGCATCCACCAAGTCAATTGGATAGCATGGGGCCAGGCGTGGAGCGTGGAGCCCCAGTCCCCAGCTGGCGGTTGAGCCAAAGTATGTGACAATGTGGCGAAACTAGCTAGAGACCCTGTGGCCTGGCCTGGCCCGTCTTGGTTTGGTCTGACCACCCTCCTCCAGTGTCAGTGTCAGCCGCAGTGTCAGTCGCAGTTCGTTCGCAGATCGAATGGGTCTGTAGAAATATCTCAAATGGTTAAGGAGAGCGAGAGAGAGGGAGGAGTTGCCGGCGAATGCCGAAGTTGTGCTGGGTGGGAACCGGTTACCAGATTACCAAGTATATGCTCTCTCTCTCTCTCTCTCTCTCTCTCTGGCTGTGGTGCCGACTGTGCTGGGCCTGAACTCGGTCAATAAACTAACCGCAAATATGTCCATGCCATAAGCTAAAGACAGCAACAGGCCCCGCCGATGTTTGGACACCACAAACATGTTGTTGCAGTTCAAGATATTTGCATAAGTGCTTGGCCAAATTGGATTGTCTTGCCTTGTTCGGTTCTCTCTCGGTTGTGTATATTGAGTTGTGCTCACTCTGGTCGTGAATATGATACCCGCCGACTGGATGTGAATGTGGATCCCATGCTGAAAGGGAATTTCATTAAGCGGGCATTCATTCTTGGGGGAGGTTGAGGCATAGGCGGAGGCGGAGGCGGAGGCGGAGGACGCGGTGCTGGATCACATAATTACTTGTGCAGAATGCCATCGGTACGATTTAGTGGTTGCTCAATCCCTTGACAAGCTCTCTGATGAGAATCTCTTTAGCATAATTTACACTTGAAGGTGCAATTCTAATTTTTAGATAAGAAAGAATGAAACAAATATCTTCTTTAATTTCGATTTGCAGGCTGCGATGTGGAGAAGGAGAAGAATCGCTTGATTGGTGAGGATTTTCAGGCACAAATCTTCTGAAATGTTTCCATTTGTAGAGAACCTTTTACCGGAGCACACAAGTTCTTGCTTGGTCTCTGCTTTAGGCACTGCTTGACTCATCGAGTCATGCTCGAGGCAAATATCTCAATCGATCTTCTGGTATAGTGCATATATCACGATGAGAGACCCAAAAGACGATACTTTAATGCCCCCGGGATTCCACTTTTGCGACACATGATAAGACTGGCACCTATTTGATGCGGAAATACTTGCAGATTTTGATCTATACTTTCTAAGCTAATGAGGATCATGATGACTTTACTTACTAGCAAATAAAATAAGCCAAATATATTTAGACACAGACACAATCTTAATATTTGCACTCTGCAAAGTATGTTCCTTAGATCTTTAGCACCAAATTATACCCTAACTAGTCTATTCCATGGATCCACACTCTCACATTTGATTGTTGTCACAATTTTTCATATCAATAGATATCGTGCGAGCGCACGAAATCCCCGGACAAAATCAAAGTCGGTAATCATTCCAAATGACTGCGGAGGTTTCTGCGCGACTGTTGAGTGAGTCAAATGCTTTTGTAGAATCATTGTTACCCCGTAAACCAAAAGCAAAAACTTTGTTTGACTTTCCAGGCTGAGTGACGCATTTTGTGGTTCAAAGTGCTGGCTCGCTCTCAGCCAAATTACTGCTGTAAATATTTAACGTATGAGAAGCGTTAGTGGCGGTGGAATTATGATACGCACATTTAACTATCTCTGGGATAATAAAGATAGTAATGTACATTTAGAGGGGGTATGTTTTGGGCGGATTCGTCAGTTGAAGTCGTCTAATCTCTGGGCTAATATTTGCCCACACAAATTGGAAGGGTGCCGTCTTTGCGATGCGGCTATTCGCTAGGAATTTAATCCCAGAGCATTTCGGAAGCATGCGACTTGGCTATCATAAAATACAATATTGTAAGTGGTATTTGTACTATGCTAACCTGAAGTCTTGGATTATGCTTCCCTGCTGTACAATGTACAATGTAAATTTGAAATCGTCACGACACTGATTTAATGTTGCATAAGCATCCACTCGGCTCTCAACTTAGGTAATTTCTATCGACGATCGCGTTCTGTTATCAAACGTTAGTAGTAGATAATTATATGAATTGAAGTTCAACAAGTTGTTGCTTTTGCCGGCTACTATGACATTAATTGTGGGGCAAAGCCGTCTATCCATACGGTATGCGACTCGGGAATGACCTGCAAAGTGAATATTCGTGGGGGAAAGTGTCAACCATAATCGATAATCAGTTGAAAAAGCATGTGGTTATCCCACCAAGAACTTTCGCCGCAATTAGATGGAACAATATTTGCTTAGACACAAAAACAGACGCACGCTCCAGACGCTCCATGCTGGAGCTCCGCGCCTAGGGTAGTAAAAACATCAAAGGCAAATTAAAACAAATAACAAAAAACACGCAAGCAAAGCGATACTCGCCTACTTCGTACTACTACTACTACTGAGCAGGCCTGAACCGGGTCGCTGGCCCAAACCGTGGCCCAGAGATTGTGTGGGGGAGGAGACCGAAACCGAGACCAGACCTATTTAAAGCACACATACAGACGATGCCAGTATTTTTTCTACGTTTTTCGTAGCAGAACCAACAGTAAAGAAGAGAGGAACTCCAGAGGTGTGGACCGCTTCACCTTATGCTCTATCTCTGCATCAGATCCATTGTGCAGATGGGAGCCACATTATTCGGCACATATAATTTGTGTCCGACTTCTAATGTCGATCAATTTGATCTTTGGATCGCTTGCTAACATTGCCAAACAATTTTCTAGTTGTCGAACGATTGAGAAATGTTAATTTTTAAATGCTTTGGGACATGTTTCTTAATACCTCTAATACTTTCACTTGTAACTTTGAGATTTTTTCCCTTTCATTGCATTCCCCGTATGTAAATATGTTGGCATAATTTCATATTACTCCAATGGATAGGGTAACAAAAATACCCGCGAGAGAGCGATAGAAATAAGTTGCCAAGTCATTGGCTCAAAATGAATTTGTTTTCCTATGTTTGCGATGTCTCATCATGCTGAGTTAAATGATAATTTATTCGATTTCTATACAGTCGCACTCGCGTATGTATGTGCATATGTATGTATGTGTGTGTGTATGTACATACTCACGATGTACGTAAGCGGCCCCGCTTCGTGTCCGTGGGCTACACCTCCCATGCATGTGCGTGCGCGACTGTCTCGACTGTACACTAATTTAGCAATAATTGCCCCCAGAATCTTGAATCTTGTTCGATTCGTGTGTCGTGTGTCGCTTTTCCATATTTGCTGTGAAAATATTATAATTGCCTGCACTTCCTCCCTCTCGAAGCCCCCTCTACCCACTGCTCTTCTCATCCACTGGCCGACCTGTTCCTCCTCCTCCTCCTGTTCTCCACACCACTGTCAACAACAGAGACGGAAAGAGTATGCGACTAAGCAAAGGGGAAACCGCAACCACCTGTTGTAGGAGCGTCAGACAGAGAGAGCGCGAGTGACAAAGAGAGCGCTCGCTGCTTGTTGCTTGCTGGGGAGTGGGGAGAGAGGGCTGCGTTGGGCTGGGCTGGGCACAATGTCGTAAAGCGTGTGTTTACTTGACATTGATACTCGTGCAGACACCCACCAGAGAATGTGTCCCTGTGAGTGTGCGCCTGGTGTGTGGGTGCGAGTGCGAGTGGTAAGAACGAACGGCAAACCAGCCAAAGACTCAATCGTCTGTCGAGGAGTTGTTGGCAGGAGTTGTTGTCCCTGGTGCACAGTGGTGCAAATTAGCTGCATGCATGATGTACGCTGCATAATGCATAATGCATGTTCCATTACTCATTAGCCCGATAATTAGCTTGATTAATTTGCTTCGAATTCGCGAATTGATTTGATTGATGGCCATAGATGGCATTTCATCAACTGATTTATGGCGGCCCAACCAGAGATACTTAGCGTTCTAATGACAGTGGGATATCCAGTTCTCTATGATTTAAGTGGTGCTATAAACTTTAAGGAAATTTCGTAACAAATTCCCATGAAAAGTGCTCTTTGGAAATTTCTGCAATAATTTTACAAGTATCTGGGCTAGGGGTGCGGCTACCTGAAAAATCGTAAATTGTGGATTACCACCAAGTGGTGGTAACGAATGAACCGCAACCGCAACACAGAAATGCCGCAGGACCAAGTCAACCACCAAGACATTGTCTCAGAATCGTTAGAGGAAGAGAGCTGTCCAACTGCTGTCCAAGACTTGCACATCAATCAAGTGGAGGAGATATTCCGGGGTCTTGTCTCCTAACGGCCAATTAGTGGCCTGCTGGCTGCCTTAGCCGACCTTTGAACTGTGCTGACTGTGTGTGCGGGCCACACTAGGCAACAGTTGGCCAAGAACAGTCGCTGTGGGCCCAGCAAGCGGCTAAATCAAAG